GCTCAAGTCACAAGGGCTTGGTCCCCTAAGGGCAGGAACTAGAAATTTTTCCTTAACAGAGTAGTTGAAGTGGGGCATGGGGGCACTCACCTGTAATTCCAGCTACTCAGGAGGCTGAGCCAGGAAGATCACAAGTTCAAGGTCAGCCTGGGAATCTTAGAGAGAACCTGTTTCAAAATATATGTATGTATGTATGTATGTATGTGTGTGTGTATATGTATATATATATATATATATATATATATATATATATATATATATGTATTAGGCTTGGGGTGATGTAGCTTGCTTAGTGGTAAAGTTCCCAGGTTCAAATCCCAGCACCACAAAAGAAAAAGAAAACTAATTTTTTGTTAAAGATTTCACAATATTGCTCCAACTCTGAAAGGTCTGTTCTGCTATTCATCCAAAAATTGACATTATTCCCATCTGCCACAAGCTTCAGGCCCCATGGAGTGCACTTGGTCACATGGCCTTCATTACAGAAGGGCTGGCTCTGTAGGCTGGCCTTCTTCAGTAGTTCTGGCCAAAATTCAACATTACTGGCTTATTAAATGACTTGGAATATGAGGCAAGGTGGCAAGCCCAAATGTGGGCATGCTGCCTTCAGAGGCCTAATTGGCTGAGTAGTAGTTACACCTGTTTCCAGTAGTACACAGGAGCCAGTACAGCAGTGCCAGTGGTTGGGTGAGGGAAAGGAAAAAGGGTTCACATTGCAGCTGGCTGGAGTGCACAGTGTCACTTGTTGGGTGGGGTGAGGGGCTGGTGTTAACATTCTTAGTGTTTGCATTTGGCAGAGTCAAAGATAGTCACTTGTCAATTTCAAGGGCCTTGACAACACGTTAATGGAGTGGTCTGTGTTCAAATTGCATAGTTACCAGCCAAGGAACAAACTGGTAATCAGAAACTGGGAGGAGCAAACTTTCATTTATATTTTATTAATAATGAATGTTTAAAATGAACAAGTAATACACACAGACTTCAATCCCTAGGTCCTTCATGTCTAGATGTTCATGTTGAGCACAGTTCTCAAATACATGGTCATAATAGATATACAAGTTATAAAAATGGAATACCATGGAAAGATATTACAAAGCAACAAAGCTAACAGACTGGAAACAGATGTGAGAGAGGCGTCACCTTGAAAGCGAGATGGCCTCATTCCAGAACCTAAGGAGAGGCTGTCCTGCTTGAGAGAAGGATGACAAACACACAACAAATCAACCAACGTATCTATCCAATTACATATGCTATTATTGGGATAGAGTCTGAGGTTGTACCTGAAGGATTCTTACGTTGAACTTTAAACTACTTTATAAATTATTAAGAGAATGTAAACTTAATCTGACACTGATGTTTTAGAGGTGGGGCTTTTGGAGGGTGGTTTAGGATTAAATGAGGTCATCAGGGTAGGTAAAGCCTGCACAATTGAGTTCTTTTGACTTTATAGGAAAAGGGTGAGAGGCCAGAACACAGACACATGTCGCAAGCCATCCATGGGCTGTGCTTGAGCATGTGCATCTGAGCATATGAGGGGACTGGTCTGGTGTTGCTTGTTTATTGGGCTGCGCGACACAGTGTGCTTTTTCTCTCCCTCTGCCTGTGATCCCACACAGCATCTGAGATGGGTGTGACTTGCCAAGTTGTCAGTCAATCTGCTGACCACAAGACATCACCAACCAAGACTCCACCCTTTGATACCCAATCCCTTGCCTTATTTGAGTGAACTTTCTATCAAATGTCCTTTCCCCAATAAATAGAGGGGTTCAGGGTGTGCTTGCTCTCTTCCTTGCCTCTCTTGCTCCCCTTGCCCTCTTTCCAGCGTGAGAGCTGATCTTTGAGGTCGCAGAGCCATCTCTGACCCAGCAATTAAGAAAAAGGTATTTTCATGTGTGTGTGGTTTCCTTAGTTATTGATACAGCCAGCTCCTTGAACCCAGCACATCTTGTCAGCCTGGCCAGCTGGCAACAGACACACAGGCATACTTCATCTACACCATGTGAATCCCTGTACCAACTTGGGGATGCCAGTGAGGACATCAGCAGATGCAGGCCCTCAGAACTTTGAGCTAAATAAATATCCCCCTTTAAAATAGTTACCCAGCACTAAGTATGTCATTACAGTAATGAAACACAGATGAATATGTCAACCAACCAACCAACCAACTAATCAATCACATAAAATTGCTTCTAACGATTGCCTAGGGCTTTTTAGCAGGCTGTGGACCTAGGGGTGGGAAGATGTAGACTCACTACTAAAAAACAAGAATGAACTCAGTTGCCTGCAAAAAAACTCAGTTGCCTGAAACTACCATTAATTGCCTAACACTGAGGGCCTTCAGATGCCCCACTACTGAATCCAAGCCTTTGCCCCAGAGGAAAACAGAAAGTGGGGTCAGACACAAATGCAGCGACTCAAGGTATAAATAATAGTATTAGTACTTTTCCAAGACATGGTTAGCATAATAGTCTTGACCAATAGCCTTGACCCAAGAGTTATGTAAACCCCTAGACTACTATACCATGTGGCAACCTGCTATTGGGATCCTTTGCCCTGTGGGAGTTATCTTCTTAAATTGTACACCTTTCACTCCTGCCTTCTGTTATTATCCGTGGAGTTCATTCTTCAAATTTGCACCAGAACCCAGAAAGAAATTGGCATTGAGCAGCTAGGGTCTGCTGTGGCACTGGAGGGCATAACCCACCATTAAGAGCTGCAACATGCCACTTGATAGTAGTGGAGAAGAATCTGGCTTTGTTGCCTGCAACTTTCAGAGCTGATGCTGGCAGGCATTCCCTGTTGTGATTAGCTGCTCACAATAAAATGGGCTTTCTGGGCTGCAGAAGCCTATAGCATACGCAGACCCCACCCACAAGCAGAAACAGAAAATCTAATTTCATTTCAAACTCTGATTTCAATAGGACTGAGTTCAGAACTGAAAATACAAATAACAGCGACACTACCAAACAGGGAGCTGTGAGGAGGGGTGTTATGGTTTAGATGTGGTGTCCCTCAAAAACTCACTGTGAGACAATGCAAGGTTTGGAGAAATGATTGGATCACAGCCTTAATCTAATCAGTGAATGGATCCCTGATGGGATTAACCTGAGTGGTAATGGGGTAGGTGAGGTGTGGTTGGAGGAAGTGCTTCACTGGGGATGTGGCTGTGGGGTATTTATTTTGTATCTGGAGATGGAAGTCTCTTTTCCTGTTTCTGATCATTATATGAGCTGCTTCCCGCTGTCACACTCTTCTACCATGTTCTGCCTCACCTTGATCCCCAAGGAATGGAGCCAGCCTTCTATGGACTAAGACCTCTGAAACTGTGAGCTTTTAAACTTTTCTTCCCTAAAATTGTTCTGGTCAGATCTTTTAGTCACAGCAGCAAAAAAGCTAAAACAAGGTGACAAAGAAGAACAGCATAATGGATCAAAGAACAATTCTCTCTCACAAAGGCAAATGGGGACAATATTCAGAAAGGATATTTATTTGTAAACCTGGAATAAGGGAACCTTCCTGCCGTCAACTGTTTTAGCAGGAGTTCAAGTGGATGGAAAGTTTTATAAAGTAAGGACGTACTGAAACTTCCACTAAGATGGGAGTTTTGGAAGTATGTGAGATGTTCTAATGGGTCTTCAAGTATATTCAGTTCTTGGTTGAAAAGGGCAAATGAGCAGTCTGGAATGTTCAGAGCAATGGATAGACTAGGCCATGGGATACCCAAATAGCCAGTAAACATTACTTCTCCATTTGTATGCACTTGTGGAAGAGATCAGCATTTGACTCCTGGGGCTAAGTAGAGCAGACCGCCCTCCCTCCATGTGGGTGGGAATCATCCCGTGCACTGACAGCCCAGGAAGGTTGAATCAGCTGTGCCTGTCTGAGCTGCAAACTGATATTTCTTGCCTTTGGAGCTCCTGGTTCTTGGCCTGCTGGAATCTATACCCCTGGCTTTCCTAGGTCTCTAGCAGGTAGCTCGTGGTCTGGTTCTCTTTAGAAAACCCCAGCACAGTGTCCTTGTGAGAAGTGACTGCCATGGCTTGCAGGGTCTCAGAGGGCACCTCTCTTCAAGCTCCCCTGGAACACTAAAGACAATGGCTTGCTGGAGTGGGAGAGGGTTCACGAACACCTACAGGTCCTACTGTTCTTGATTTTGGAATATAAAGCCCGTTCACTAAACACAGATAGCTTAAAAATAAGACCATGCGCTAGGTCAAGAAGTAAACCTCAACTTCAAAACAGGAAAACAAATCAGACCCAAATTTTAAGTTAGAAATTAATAACGTGTTTAAATAAAAACTAACAAGAAAACGGCAAAGCTCTTGACTCTTTGAAGAATTAACTGTTCCTTCATGGAAAGTAATTTAAGGTGATAAAATCTAGCCAAAATTTTTTCTTAACGGTAGGAGAGAACTAAATAAGTTTGCATGGAGAAAAGCCTGACAACTGAATGAAGTGGGAATCAAAGATGAAAGGAACCAGGGGAGAAGACCGAACACCCGAGCAGAAGGGGGCGCGGGGCGCTGGAGGCAGGGGCTGGGGAGGCCCCGGGAGGCCAGGCCAGCCGCGCCCTGCAGTCTCAACGCTGGCCGAGCCCGGCGCAGGAGCCGGGTACCGGGCTGGGCCTGCCCGGCAGGTAGCCTCCTCGTGATTCTCGCGAGCGGCGGGGACCCCGCCCCTGCAGCCGGGCTTCCCGGACACCGGTGTACACGCCTCCCACACAGGTTGGGCTTCTGCGCGAGACCGGGGAGAGCGCCCGCTCGCTCCCGGAAGACAGCCAGCACGCACGCGCAGCTGCGCACGGCCAGGGACGCCACGCCTCCGCGACGCGGCTCCAACGCCTGGCAGCGTCCAGGCCCGGCGCGCGACGGGGGCGGAGCCTCACACGGCCACGCCCCGCCGCTCAATGACGCCATCGGGCGGCGACCGCGGCGGGGCCGGGAGGCGCACTGAGCCGCCTCGGACAGGGCTGGGGCTGAGGGACGAGGGCGGGGGGATAGAGTCGCCAAGTCGCCGCGGAGAACGGGGCGGGCTGGTGGAAACATGGCGGACCAGATCCCTCTGTATCCGGTGCGCAGCGCAGCGGCGGCCGGCCACAAGCGCGCGGCCTACTACAGCGCCGCGGGGCCCGGGCCGGGGGCCGACCGGCGCGGCAGGTAACTGCGCGGCCCGACCCTCCGCGCCGCACTGGCGGGGCCGGCTTCGGGCCCGGCGCCTCCGCGGCGGCGAGCCCGAAACTTAGTTGAGAGTCGCAGAGGCCGCTGCTCCGGCTGCGCCGGGCGCGAGGGGCCCGCGGAGCGCTCGCTGGCGCCGAGCGTGGCCGTCGGGAGCGCGGAAGGGAAGTGGAGGCGCGGAACGGTTAAGTAGCTGACGGGGCCGCCGCTGCGCGGCCGGGAGGACGTGTGTGACCGAGGGGCGAGCCGGGCTCCTCGCGGGGCTGCCTCCACGCCGCTCAGGATCGCTCCCTTCTCGCGCCACGGAAGTGAGCTGTTGTAAAGGAAGAGGCGTAAAGACTGCAGTTTTACAAAATAAACTCCCAAGTGTTACCTCTTCCAGCTATCAAAATTTTATTTTCTTTATTGCAGAGGTATTGAAGAAATAACCCATGATGCGCGGAGGAAAAAAATACGGATTTTACCCCATATCATATCTTAGCCATTTTACTTCAGAATTTCAGCTTTGCAGTTCTTTTTTGACTGAGACTAACATGCAATCAGAAGAGTTCATGTTATGTAATGGGAGAGCTGAATTCGCCCCTGGTCTGTTTATTCACTAGTCATTTCATCTTAGGCACCTTAAACTTCCCTCTTTTGTAAAACGATGGATAATGTTTTTCTCACGGAGGATGTTGAGTTTTACAGGAGAACCAATAAAAGCTGTCCTTTTTCAAGGTGCTTTCCTGGAAGTGCGTTCTCCAGAGCTGTCATTTCTTCTTTCCCACTCTTAGCTTTAAGAGTGATTGCATTAGTAATTGTCTAAGCATTTAATTTTAGGGTATAAATATTTGGAAGTATGCTAGCTTTCAAAACAAGGTTTTCATCACATCTTGAGTCTATCAGTTTTCATTTTATGTCATTTGGTGCATACACATCCAGAATTTCGTGTCTTGTGTATGTGTTGACCTTTTTTATTGTTATGTACCGTTCCTTTCATAATTTTCTTTCGCTCTTAAATCTACTAGGTATTAGAGTAGTACTCATGCACTTTTGAATTAATGTTTGCATAGTGCCAGCTTTCAGTCTACACACTTTGTTCAACTTGAGGTGAAGTTTCTTGTTGGGTCATGGTTTTTATCCATAAAGTAATTATTGATACATTAGGACTAAGTGTGGCATTTTTCTGTTTCTTCTGATTTCTCATTTCCTTGTGTTTCTCTTTCCTATCTTCTTTTGGGTTACTTGAACAATTTTTGGTATATGTACAGTGTTTTGAGTGTAGATCTTTGTATGGTTTTCAGGTGTTTGCCCTGGCTATCACCGTATGCATTCAACTTACTGCTATGATGTGTTTTTATCACCATTTTACCTATTCTTCCATTCAGGGTTTGCATTTGGCCACCTGTTTAGACTTAGCATATGGGTCTTGGCTTACATTTGTGGTTTGTAGTTCTAATGACAGTGTGTGGTGCATTTTGGACTGCTTCAGTTTAGGTGGTGTCATTGGTCTCTCTTGTGTTGCATGATGGGGAAGAGTGATTTCCCCAGGCCTAGTGTCTCTTGGTAAGAGTTGAGAGTGTCGGGCTCCATGGGATAGAGAGACATCCTTGGTGAGGCACTGGATGTGGTTGTGTCCCCTCCACATGTGCCACCTGGCTGTACTGGTGTCTCTGAGTAGGAGGCAGGAGTCTGAGCACCCCTATTGCAGAGGCTTTCCATGGCAGAATCCTGCTTGGTGGTGCTCCCTGCCTGCCCTGGAGTCTTGGAGTAGGGCAAGGTGTGGGGGAGGGAGGTGCTGTAAAAGAGGCTTCTTGGACTGGGCCTCTTGGTTGATGGGTAGCACTTGTCAGTGCTACTTGGCTGTCTCACTGGTGGGAGAGAGGAATCTCAGGGTTTCAGGACACAGAGATTTCCAGGACTAGCTGGTTGTTGTGGCATGGTTCCCTTGCTGGTGCCTACATCCCTCAGCATCCCTGGTGGGGATGAGAGAGCAGCCTCAGGCTCTCCCATATGACATTCCTTGGCTGCTTACCAGTTTCTAGCTGGTGATGCTGTACTCTCATGATACTGTGGTCCTGTTCTATTGGGGTGTAGGGAACAAGCTTTCTTGGCTCCCTTCTCTAGCATGGTTGAAGTTAGGGGACACTGGGCCTGTGGTGCTTTATTCTGTTGCTGGGAGAACACATGAGAGACATGATGCTGTTGCTTCAGCCCAGGTCTCCAGCCAGCCTGCCTTCCTCTCACTGCTGTGGTCATGGCACTTTTCAGAACTCTCATTTGTGTCTTGCTTTGTTCCAGTTTATTTATTTACAGTTGGACTTATTGGGGAGTGTCAGGGAGAAATGCCATTTTGTCTGGACCAGAAATTATGCTTCTGTGTTATTTTTTGAAATTGGGTTGGTTTTATTTTATCATGATATGCATATGGTTTTATTTTATCATGATACACATACAGTTTAAAAATAAAGTGGTGCTAAAAGGCTTATAATAAAACATTATAATTGCTCCATTTACTCAGTTGCCCTCACCCTATTTTTTTTTAACCCCAGTGGCAGTTACTTGGGACCTTGTAGCTGGTGTTTTCTTTTCTTTTTTTTTTTTTTTTTTGGTATCGGGGATTGAACTCAGGGGCACTCAACCACTGAGCCACATCCCCAGCCCTGTTTTGTTTTTTATTTAGAGTCAGGGTCTGATTGAGTTGCTTAGCGCCTTGCTTTTGCTGAGACTAGCTTTCAACTCATGATCCTCCTGCCTCAGCCTCCCAAGCTGCTGGATTTATAGGTGTGCTCTAGCTGTTTCTTAAAGCCACTGCACTTCTGAAGTCATTCTTTATTCCAGCTGCTGTTAGTGCAGAATTAGGTAACTCCTGCCACACTCATATAGTGCATAGCAGAGATTCCATTCTATTCTATGACTTATCTTCTCAGATGTGTCTTTGTCAATAGTGGCAGTGATGATTAGATTTTACCATTTTCCTGGTCTCCTGAGTTGGGAAGTGTTCTCAACTCTTCTTCTTTCGGCAAGATATTGTTTTAATTCTTTTTAAATGTTTGGTGGATTTGCCAGCAGAACTATCTGAGCATTGGAAATTTCTTTTTTTGGATGTTTTCAATTTATGAATTCAGTTTCTTTATAGTTATTGGGCTGTTCTCACTTTTTAGTCCATAGTAGGAGAGTTGTGATAGTTTGTGGTTTTTTTTGAGGAATGGTTCCATTTGATAGAAGTTACCAGGTTTATGTGTAGATGTGTAGAGTTGTTCATGGTGTTTGCCTGTTATTCTTTTGATGTTTCTTTAAGATGTTGGTGATATGTACACCTCCCACCCCTACCCATTTTTTTTTTTCCTTCTGGTACTGGAGATTGACCCTAGGGCCTTGTGCATGCTGGATAAATGCTCTACCATTGAGCCACATCTCCAGCCCAGCCAGCTGGACTGGCTATGAACTTGTTATTCTCCTGACTCAGTTTCTTGAGAAGCTGGATTACATTTATGCACCAGAATGTCTGGTTTATTTTTGCACTCTTTAACGGGTTTTTTGATATGCTTCTCATACAGACAGTTCACCTATTTAAATGTATAATTCTGTGGTTTTGAGTAAATTCATAAGTACATGTATCACCTCTTATCCTGCAGCTTCCACTCCACCTTTCATTTCTATTTCCTTCACCCAGCCATCTCTGAATTTATAGATCTTTTTTTTTATTGTAGTAAAATGTAACATAAAATTTATCATTTTAGCTATTTTTAAACATACTTTCTTTTTTGTGGTACTAGGGATTGAACCCAGGACCTTGTTCTCAGTGCCGTTTTTATTTTATTTTGAAAGAGGGTCTGGCTAAATTGCCCAGGCCAGCTTGTGATCTTCCTGTCTCAGCCACTTGGGTAGCTGGGATTATAGGTGTGTGCTACCACACTTAACTCTTTAGGTATACTGTTGACTTATAACAAATCAGTAATTTCATGCTTCAAAACTGAAATGATTTAAAATTGATATAAAGTTTTCTATCAAAACTATTTTTCTAATTTTTCTGTTTTGGGAACTATGTGCAATCTATAGAATACATCTGAAAAATAAAGAGTGTTAGTGTATTGTCTTACATATACAGAAAACAAAGTTTAATATTATCAGGCTGGAATCTACACACTGGCAACGGAATGCTTCATAGCTTTAGTTGATGGAAAGACACCTTTGACATAGACTTTTCTTTGAAAACCTCTCTCCTCAGGCAATGTAAAATTGACATTTTTGTTCTTGTTATGTATAAGAAATTACAATTATGTATTTTAAAGGTTTTCAGGTTTTCCTTGAAGTGAAATTATTTTTCTTTCACTAGAATTATAACAGCTTAGGACACAATATATTTAAAAGATAAGGCTGGTATATAATTATAGCTTACATAAAAATTTTCTTCATTGGGTTTAAAATATAAACCCAAAATTCCAAGGGAAGAATTATGTATGATTTGATGGGCTGGGGTTGTGGCTCAGTGGTAGAGCACTCGCCTAGTGTGCATGAGGCACTGGGTTCAATCCTCAGTACCACATAAATATAAAATAAAGATATTGTGTCTACCTGAAACAAAAAAAATTTAAAAAAAGAATTATGTATGATTTGTGTATGGTTTAATAATTATTAAAAAGCTCAACATCACATTATTTTTGCTATCATCAAAGGTGAATGTGGTCCTTTTTCAAATGCCAGTAAATAAGTGAAATCAAAGTTCACTAGGCTGCTAATTACATTGTCATGTGAGGTATCAATTTTTCTCACATGGTGAATGTGTGAAGAGTAAGGCATTTTTAAATTTGGTGTCACATTTCTGTGTTTTAAGTGATAACTATAACATTCAAGTTAGCTTTGTGGTTGAAAAAAGAATGAAGGACATCAAACATTTTAATTTTGCTTTTTCATGTATGTTTTAGTTGTAGATGGACACAATACCTTTATTTTGTTTATGTTTTATGTGGTGCTGAGCATTGAACCCAGTGCTTCACACA